CATTGACTGACGACCCTCTCCATAACTCAAGGTGTGGTAATTATAACCATTCACAAAATATCCAGGATATGTTTTAACCTAGCTTGAAGGACCCCACTCTAGTGATTCAAGAAACCAATCATAAGTTCCAGACGCTGCACTAGTTATCTGCATATGGTAACACATGGAATGAGATCTTTGTGGCGAAATATAATAATTAAGAGCAATTCAGTTATATTTTTTAATAAAAACACCTTTTCTTTGAACCACCCTGCGAACTTTGAATTAACTAAAAGATCCACATCCTCTTGTGAGTAAGCAAATAGACTTTCTCGAAATTCACTACAATTAATAAATGCATTAGTAGTAGTGCGCATTTAATTAACAACACTGAAGGAGTCGTTTAGAAAATATCTTACCAATAAAATGGCTCCACCTCCGGACAATTAACAAGAATGTAGGTGTGCGCAATGCGGTATAAATCTCCTGTTATGTATCGCATCGCATGTTTAGTATACCCACGACCGGGGTAGTTAAAAATCGAAAATGAATCAGAACCATCTCCAACATCATCATTTCTCGCAGGTCTTTTACGCCTAGAAACTACACCAGTCTCGAAGTAATAAGATGCAAATGTTGCAATCTCTTGCGTTATGTATGTCTGGAAAATTGAGGCCTCTACATGTGCTTTATTTGTGACCTTTTTCTTTAACTCTCCTAAATTCCTACAAATGTAGAAGAAAAATTAAACAATTTCATATAATTACTAATGTAGTATTAATAATCATAGACAATAAATTATTTCATATAATTATTATACTAATAACCTCTTGAAACAGTACATCCATCTATAAAAAACAGGGCCAGCCACCTTGGTTTCAAATGGAAGATGAATCAGAAGATGTTTCATGGAGTCAAAAAATGACGGTGGAAAAACCTTTTCCAAGTTGCACATTATCAATGGTATGTTGCGCTCTAAGTCTTCAAGACCGCCAAAATTAAGCACCGTGGAACATATACAGTGAAATAATTGGCTAACCTAAGTAATAGAATTCCAAACTAATTTAGGAATCATTTCTTTGAGAGCAATGGGGAATAGCCTTTTCATGATAACATGACAGTCATGACTTTTCATATATCGCATTCTCAAATTAGCAATGTCCACGCAATTTCCTAAATTTGATGTGTACCCGTCTGGAAATCGAAGCGCTGATATCCATTCTATTATTTTCCTCTTTTGATCAGTGCTCAACTGGTATATCTGGTATATTGCTTTCACGACTGGACTGTCGCTATCTGGTGCAACAGCAATTTCAGGTCTATCACAATACACCCATACATCTTTCCTAGAGTTGAGGCCATCTTTTGTCTTATTTTGGAAAATTCATCACTGTATTGAATGTGTTATCAAGGACATTCTTCTCAATATGCATGACATCCAAATTATGGCGTATTAGTAAATCCTTCCAATATGGTAGGTCCCAAAATATACTCTTCTTCGTCCACTTATGATCTGTACCATATCCAATAGGGTCGTTTATTAGATTCTCTACAGCAGTATCAAATTCACGCACTCTCTCAAATATCTGTGATCCATCTAAAGTAGGTGGTGGAGAGTCACGCTCGACTACGCCGTTGCGAAATGATTTCTTGTCTCTGCGGTAGGGATGATTGTGGGGTAAAAAATGCCTGTGACAATCAAAGTAACATGGTTTTCTACTATGTTGTAGGTAAAAGGATTTTGACCATTCCATACAAATGGGTCAACCTTTTAAACCCGCGGCACTCCACCCAGATAGCATACCATATGCAGGAAAATCACGAATTGTCCAGATCAATGCTGTCTTCATATTAAATACGTGGTCTCTCGACACATTGTACGTGGGGACTCCATTATACCAAGAACGTCTTAAGTCCTCGATAACCGGTTGCATATATACGTCTAGACGTTTTTTGGGATTGTGCGGTCTAGGACAAATTAATGTTAGGAACAGAAACTCACTACACATACACATATCAGGCGGTAGATTATACGGTGTAATCATCATAGGCTAAAGAGGGTATTGTGCTCCAAACTATCGATGTGGGGCAAATCCGTCCGTGCAGAGGCCTATACGTACATTGCGCAGTTCACACGCAAAATAGGGATGACAACGATCAAAGTGTTTCCATGCTTCAGAATCTGACGGATGAGACATTAACCAAGTTTCAGTTTCATGTTCAACATGCCAGGTCATGTGTTTTGCAGTGAGAAGCGAGGCATACAACCGTTGTAAGCGTTGAATAAATGGTAAATATATCAGTTTTGATATAGCACGGCGCTTGCGAAGCTTACCTCGTCTTTCGCTCGTAGGCTTGTATCTAGACTCCCCGCAAAACTTGCATGTGTCCAGTTGTTCATCATTTTTCCAAAACAACATACAACCAGCAGGACATGCATCAATTTTAACAACTGGGAGCCCTAGCTCAGAAATCATCTTCTTTAAAGTATAAAAGTCTGTAGGTAAATTATGATCTTTTGGTAACCACGCTCCAACAGTTTGTAACCATGTAGACATACAGGCCTCCGGGAGATTCCAATCCGACTTTATGCTCAAGATTTCTGACACGGCAGCTAATGTCGATTTCTCATCGCAATCAGGATATAACGGCTCGTCAGCTGCCTTCAACACTTCTAAAAATTGATCAGACAATGAATTAATATCGTCAGTATGTTTATTGAGACGATGAGCTCGGAACATCATTAAAATTTGACGATGTAGGAAAAACAGTAGGTGCCATGGCATCATACACAACCCGTTGGTCCCAAGTCATGTTCTCATAACTACCCCATGCAGAAACCGACTCTGGAACTACACGTGAACTGCTAATTGTCCGAGGAAAATATGACGGATTCAATACTTCTCCATGACAATACCAAGTATAATAATTCTCAATAAAACCTTCTGTGTATAAATGACAACGCAAGTCGTCTTCAGTAACAAAGTACATATTTTTACATTTCCCACAAGGATATCGAATTTTCTCTCTATCATGAAATTCAGTTTGGGCACTTGCAAATGCAATAAATTCTTCTACACCATCAAGATATTCACGTGTCAAACCACGTTTGATCAAAGCATTTTTGTTGTACATCCAACTTCTAGATGATATATAGACATAGTACCTGAGTTACAAGTGCTAGAAAAATTAAAATTTTTAACAAAATAAATCATTACAAGAATGTCTAAAAAAAGACAAGAATAATTTTATATCCTAAAATCAATGAAAAAAGACAGAATAATATTAGGCACGAACTAAGCACATCCACAGTCGTGCCAACGGCGCTGGTAAAATATTTAACTGTAATAACTCTTTTAAATATCAAATCTATATATTAAAATGAATTCAAATTTACAAAATGTACATTATTGTAAATAAATCATCAATTAACTATATTTATTAGCGAGATAGAAGATATTTTTTCACGTAATTTATGTATAAATATTAAACACTCGCGTAATGGATGAAATGAAATTAAAACGCCAAAAAAACATATTACACACATACTTACTGAAATGAAAATTCATATTACACACACTTACTAAATGAATGTAATGAAATTAAAAATCCAAAAATATATCGTACCTACATGGATGTAAGGAAATTGAAATACTCCGTATGTTTCTGGATGAAATGGTTTCGTATATAAAGAAATGGTGAACTGCAATTATTGCAATGTGAACTACTTCCAACTACTTTATAGTACAAAAACTTTATACTCCCTCCGTCCCAAAATATAAGCAACATTACGCTAAACGAAGTAATTTTTTGAATTATTTCAATCCATTTTATTTAAAGAATGGTCTACAAATAAAAAAAAGTTACATATTTAAAAACTACGTCAAAAGTTCTACAAAACAAGTGGTGACAAGAATATTTTATTCTATCAAATAATCAATGAAAATGCAAAAATAAATAAAAGTTCCCGTGATTTTTAAATAGTGGAGTGTTGCTTATATTTTGGGACGGAGGGAGTAGAAAACTTTAGTACAAAAACTTTAGGATGTAGTTGTTTTATTTGGATAAGTACGATAGATGTAGATATTTTATTTGGATAAGTTTTTATAATTTTCTATTATTGTAGTTCTTTCTTTATTTCATCTAAAAAAAGTTGTATCCTGTACTTTTCTCTAATTTTAGCCTTGTTATCTTCCGATTTTAATATATTTAAAAGACAAAAGTTTTTTGTTATGAGTATGATTTAAATCTTTAAATAAATAAAATTATGTCCTATGGCGAGTGGCACGGAAATAGGCACGGCTATTTCCATGACAAAACAGTCTTGTCCTTTTCGATTTTGAATTTTATAAGAAAGGTAAGGAATTGGAACAGCTAAATCCGTGCATATTGGTTAGAATAAACGCCGTCCGACAACACCGTTAACGTCTTAACGTTTACGCTATTGGCACGGAATTAGGCACGGACAAATGCAGAGCCAAATTAAAACGCAAATAGAAACACGCCATGTGGCTGCTATCTTTTTTGGCGTAGTCACGGAATGTCCGTGCCTAATATTCCGTGCCAATTTCAGGAGTTTTTTGTAGTGACGTACTACTAGTTAAAGTAAAAAGAATTAAGCAGGTAATATTATCTCATATTCTAGGATTTGCAGATGACCACAAAACATGGAAGGAGAGCTCTGGGGTTTCAGGTAAAGGTATATTCGAACCGAACTCGACCCGTTGCCATCCCTATTTGGAGCGGGTGGCCAAAGGATGATTATTTGTACATGTTGTGTGGGGGCTGAGGTAGATCAGAATTCCATTTTTGTCCCGTCATTGTTCATGCTCTAATGAATACTAGTTGGGTGGGTAATAATTAGACCTGGGAGATGAGTCCGTGTAGCAACGTTTTTTTATGATAAAAGAGTTGCCAAAAAATGAGAAGGAAAAAATTAGACAAACGAAAAAAGAAAGTGTATAGGGAGTAACAAAATTTGTGGAGAGAGGGACTAAAATTGTAACGTCATCTCAATGGGCAGATACACAAACCCCCACCGAAGGTCACACTGCACGTACTACTAGTTAAGCTAAAAAAATTAAGCAGGTAATATTATCTGATCATATTCTAGGATTTGCAGATGACTACAAAACATGGAAGCAGAGCTCTGGGGTTAAGCAAATAAAGCTCCTCTATGTTGGAATAGAGTCCAACTTTCCCAGCCAGGGAGTCGAACCCAGTCTGTCCAGCCATTTCTTGTACATTCTCCAGAGGCCTATGCACTCGGCCGGCTATCACTCTGCACACCACCAGAGCTTTTCTCGGCATGGGGTGCTTGTCGTCGTCGTCGTGGTGGCCCCCAGCTGCGCGCTGGAGCTCAATGGATTCGAAGGCTCGTCCGCTGGTGGAGGTGGTAAACACGCCTATCCCGTTCTTGGGATCCTTCTCCATGGAAAACCCGTTACGGATGAGGTGGCAGACGCGGCACCGTTGGGACGCGCAGAGGCTGTGGGACCCCCCGGTGCCGAGCGGGCACGACACGGTGGTGCCGTGGAACCTCAGGAGCTCATTCCCGTCCGCGAGGCACCGGGGGTGTTTCTTGGGGAGCTTGCCTGCTTTGGCCTTCACCATTTCCCGGTACTCTTCGAAGCAGGCGAGTGTTTTCTGCGTGTTGTGAACCTTTAGAACTCGGTCGATCATCCGGCCGCCGCCGCTGCAGCCGCCGGGTGGGCGGCTCTCGGATTTTAGCCAGCTTGACCGGCATATTATCTCCACTATTTTCCTTGACGAGTCACCTTCAGTAAGTTCTGTCACTGTCGAAGATCAGGCCATAATATATAGCAGTGTGAGTAGCTGAGAAGTGATCAAATTCAATGGCAAACAAACCAACCAAACTCATCAAGTATTATAGTTGGTGTACATAACATTTATGAGAACTATTAATCTCATTATTTGAATAGTTTTGACTTTTTTTGATTAATTATTTTTAATTTGTAATCTATAATTAAATAAAATATATATTATATATTAATTGTATAAAATAATATTTTGAAAATATTTGATCTAATAAATTTAATAAAATTATTTTTCTTTCAATATCTAGTATTATTTTTATATAATTTGAGATCAAAATAACTAATTTTGATCAAGAAAAAGTCATACTCAAAAAAACTTAATAGTGCATATTTATGGTAGCCAATCTGTGCAGTGGGTTGGTAAGCTTTAACTTCTGTTTGGCCAAAGATTTTCCAAAGACAAATTAAAGAAAAGAAGATATGTGACTCCCTACTACGGAGTATTTTTTTCGGTTGATTTTCTAATAAATAAACAAATACTCCCTCCGTCCCAAAAAGAATGAGACGGTTTGACTTTTTGGAAAATTAAAGGAGGGATATTTTGATATTGACTTTTCAAAAATACCCTTGATATGATGGGTAAAAGTAGGATGTGATGGGTAGATTATTAGAAAAAAGATATGATGTGATAGGTAGGGTATGAAAAAGTAAGGGATAAAAGTGGATTTTTAATATAAATGTAACGGACTTTACGGGACACAGTTTTTTTTAAATATAACAAACTTTTTGGGACGGAAGGAGTACTAGGTAAGTAGCACTTCTTTTACTTCAAAATAAGATTTCACAATTGAGTACCCATTGTGCTTAATAAAACTTAAAAAAAAATGTGTAATTCAGTTTTGCCCGAGGAAGGAAATATTGTACAAAGTACAAAGAATACAAAGTAACCCCTCACTCCAAAATAATGTTTTATTATGGTTTCATGGGTTAAAATTTAAAAACTTCTACTCCCTCCGTTCCCTTAAAACCATTCCCACTTTTTTACTTTGGGTCAAAATAAGAAAAGTGTAATTTTGGTTGACTTTTCAATTTTACCCCTGATGTGATGGATAAAAATAAGATGTGATAGTTTGGTTATTAGTGAAAAAGTATGATGTGATAGATAGGGTATGAAAAAGTAGTGGTAAAAGTAGTTTTTTAATAGAAAGTGAAAGTGTTTTAGGGAATTGGAAAAACACGAAAGGGAAAGGATTTTATGGAAGCAGGTATATCATAAAAGTCGAAAAGAAAATTCAATATCATTTTATTTGTCTTGAAATTAAATTTTGAAATATCATACTTCTATTAGAAAGAAATAATGTACAATTACAAATATTAATGGTTAAAGTATCAAAATAATACTTCCCCCGTCTTAAAATTAACTTCTCATTTGACTTTTCACGGTCTCCAATGCGACACTTTGACCATCAATATCTCAATTTTTATATAAATATATTTTATAAAAATTATATATTTCAAAACTATGTTTCAAAATGAATCTATTGCTAATACATTTATATGAAAATTCAATGTATTTTTTTCCGTAATATACGGTCAAAGTTTAAAAAATTTGACTACAAAAATCAAACTGGAAAGTTAGTTTTAGGAGGGAAGGAGTAAAAACTAACATAGAATCTAATAATGAGACGGAAGGAAGGAGTATATTTTTTTTTTCTAAAAAAAATTTGAAACCTTTTGTTTTTTTGGGAAAAGGGGAAAAAAGTAGACTTTTTCACTGGAGAAAGAGGAGTACAAATTTCACAAAGAAGAATACTCAAAGGCACATTCTGTTTCGCAGATATAGAAAACAAAACTGTGGATGGAAAGGAACCATAGGTTTTGTAAAAGGAGACAAGTATAGATCTGGAATTGACTTCAAAGGTGTGCTGGTTTTCAACAAAAAAAAAAAATATAATTACTCCATTTTTTGAAGAATGAATGGATGGGTAAAAGAATTAATTACCAGCATGATGGGAAAGATGATGTACTTCAAGAGCTTCCCATTTCCCAAATTCTTCTCCACACCTGTGACATGTAACTGACGATGATGAAGAAGAAGAAGATCCAAAGCCATCTGCCGCTTTTCCTTTTGAACAAAATCCACCAAAGCCATCTTTACTATTATAATAATCCCCCAAAACCAAACTTGTCCTCCTCCCCCTCCTATTGGAAATAAGGGTAGGAGGAGAGCTTGCCCTGGCCCCGTCCCCTACGGGGCCAGGGGTGCCCGGCCTTAGGGTGCCCACAAAGGAGCCGGGCAGACCCTCATGAAAGCCGCCAAAGCTGGTGATTCGGAGCTCGCACCGGGAGTTGTTGCGCAGGACGACTTCGTGGGTGATTGGGTTGAGTAGCTCATTGCTCCCAATCGACCTCGGGCTGCAGCTGATAATGGCGCTGCCCTTCTCCTGCAAGTGCCTCTTGCTCCCGTGGATGACCACGTCTTTGAGGTTCGAGATCGACCTCGAACACCCAGACCTCACCCCTTCTTTACTCCTCGTCGTGATCGCGTTCAGGTGGCGGTGTTTCCTGCTTTTGCTGCCAGTCGTCTTCGGGCTGTGGACTTCTGATGGCTCTGACTTACACTGCATAGATCTCCTCAGTGAGAACCAGACTGTGCCCTTATAACTCTTCTTCTCCCTCTTCTCCTTCTCCCCCATCCACTCCACCTTTATCTGCTGAAACATGAACAGACCAACTTCTCTGATCTATCTACTTTTACAATTTAAATTTAGCCCACACACATATCTGGCCACTTCCGTTATTCTTCATCATCATTTCCTCCATCAAGCTAAGCTCAAAAAGGTAACAAACTGCATAGTTAATAAGCTAAATAAAGGAGAATTTGAATTTCGACCACCATCATTGTTCCTTTGAAAGACGAGCATTTCCTTTTTGTCAGCACAACAACAATTGCATCCCACACTACACCACCAAAAACCATGATATAACTTATTTATTTGTGCTTTCTGCTACAAATGAAGTACTGGCCGGCCGGAGCTAGTGCCGGTGGGATGAAATGATATATAATGTGTAAAAAGAAAGAAAGGTAAGGAAATGGAGTGGAGTGGAGTGGAGGATTATATTCAAGCCAATAAGTACTCGATCTATATCTTGTTTTGAATTCTTCATTTACTACCATATGGCGATTGATCGATCGGTCCTTGCCGGGTCGGTTAGTCTCATTTATTGCTATCATCCAAACACAGGCCTCATCAGGCTCTAGCTGGCTGCCATATTGCCATTTCCACATACTAATACATGCAACCATATCATTCACATTGTTGGACGGACGGACCCAATAATGTTACTAATCCGTCAAACTATATACTCCGTACTTTAAATTTTATTCATCTAAATATTAATGTAAATAAAAATTTTTTATTTAAAACTAAAGTCAAAAGTTATACAAAAAAAAACAACATGACTATTTTAATTTAATAACAGTACGGTTAGTTCATGTAACATTGAACCCAATGCATAATATTACCTAGCTTCCTACGGTGTTCCATTCGAAAAGTTGGTATCAAGCATTCTTTTGGGTTAAAATTTTAGTGCTAGATATTGAAATAAACTAGGAGGAATTGGAAGAAAGTGGAAGAAGTTGGAAAAAATTGGAAGGAGTTTAAATGATCATTCAAATAAATATGTAAGAAAACTCTAATTTTAGATAAAAAAGAATTTATGTTTATCTCTGTTTGAGGTGATATGTTATAAATTTGGATATATACTATTATGATATACTTCCTCCGTCCCACAATAAAGTTCCCATTTTGAATAGTATTTAGTCAAACATTTCCACACTTTGATTACAAATTGTGAGAAAGGTATATTGAATTATAAAATAAATTTAATATAATTGGATTAATCTTAGGATCTAGTTTTGATATCTCAAATTTTTTTAGCATTTCTTTATTTAGATTATTTTTAATTTATGGTCAAAATGAGAACTTTTTTGTGGGACGAGGAAGTATTTATTATATATAAATATATTAGGAAGTGTAGATTTTTCTATTCTCATTTGCGAACCTAGCGTCACTTCAGCTTTTCTATTTCTATCTCACTTCTATTTCTTCATTTCAAACACTTTTTATATATTAAAATTTCGGTGGACCGAGAAGAACGAATATAGTATCGGGTAAAATTAATCACTTGCATATAAAGTCCGGATCCATTGTTCTAATCCAGAAGCTTAAGCTAATAGGTGGGGCTTCACCTTTCTATATATGTGGTAATGGTATTTTTCTTTATTTTCCGATGTGGGAACTTCAACACTCTATCTCAAGTGGAAACTAGCCTGGTCTAGTTATCAGTTGGACAAACGAGTCTAGCATCTCAATCTCTTTTAGCTAGTCCATACAACGGGCGGTGATATCTCAATCTATCTCTTTTAGGGAACTCAACCCAAACTACAGACATGTAGGCTTATTGTTCTAAACCCACGTCCAACAACTAGGAAAAATCGAACCCAGACCATACCTACTCTGATACCATATTAAAATTCTGGTGGACTGAGAACAATGGGTAGAGTGTCAGGTAAAATTAACCACTTGTATATAAAGTTGAGATCGACTATTCTAACCTAAAAGCTTAATCTGATAAGTATGGCTTCACCTTTCTACATATGGTTGTGGTATTCTTCTTTATTTTCTGATGTGAGAAATCCAACACGTTTCATTTGTATTATAAAAATTACGTATAGAACTTAAAACTATATAAATAAATTTAAAAAAATGAAGTACAAAATCTAAACTTAAAAACTAACAAACTACAGAGTAAAAACTAAAAATTGTAGAACCAAAAATTAAAATGAAAAAAGAAATAACTCAAAATAAAAGTAAAACATAGCTCTCATTCCAAAACAGAAGTTCCTTACTTTTATCATCTAAATAAAAGTAAACAAGAATTATATACTTCCTCCGTCCATAAAGATGTTCCGGTTTTGACCATAAGGTTATTTGGGCCAAATTTTAATTTTTTATATTTTATAATTTTTAATTTAACCTCATTTCTTTTTCTTCTTCTCCCTCCTCCCACTCCCTTCTTTTTCTTCTTCTTCTTTCACACCTTTTCTTCTTCTTCTTCTTCTTCTTCTTCTTCTTCTTCTTCTTCTTCTTCCTCTTCTTTCACCCCCTTTTGTTATTTTTCTTCTTCAAAGCTCCTCTCACCCCCAACCCCTGCTAGCCCCCATCCCGCCCTTCCCTTCATCTTTTCTTTCCAACATCCCCCCCCCATTTTTTTTGAAGTTCCCTCTTTTTTGTTTCATTTTTTACATCTTTTTAAAGTTATTTTGTTCCCGGTTTTTTCAATCTTATTTATTTTTTTGTTGTGTCTTTTTTATCTTTTTTTCTTGATGTTTTTATATTGTTGGTTTAGAATTTTTTGTGACCTTTTTTTTGCAAGTTTTTTTAAATCTCTTTTAAGAACTATCTTATTTCTTTTGTTTGTTTTACTTTTTTAACTTTTTTGATATTGTTTTATCTTATTTTTTTTTGTTTTTGATCATTTTTTGTTTGTTATTTTTATGCTATATTTTATTTTTTCATCAAATGAAGTAAAAACTAATTGACATTCGGATTTGTTCTTTTTTGTGCGTTATTCTCTTTTTTCTGTTGCACTTACTCTTAGTTTGACTTATTTTATTCCCCTTGGTTCTCATGAGAAACCAATGTCATATGATAACCCGGAAGTGCTCCGGTGTCCTGTTCGTAAAATTGACGATTCCTACCCCCGGTAAACCCCCACACCCTCGACCCATACGTAAAATAAAATGTATGGTACAATATTTTTTGTTTAACTAATATGTTCAATAAAATAAAACTCATCAATTAATAAAATAAAATAAGTCAAACTAAGAGTAAGTGAAACATAAAAAGAGAACAACCCCCAAAAAAGAACAAATCCAAATGCTAATTAATTTTTTTCTTCATTTTTATGAAAAAATAAAATATATAAAAATAACAAACAAAAAAGGATAAAAAAACAAAAGAATAAAACAAAACAATATCAAAAAATAAAAAAGTAAAACAAACAATAAACAAAAACACTTCTTAACAGAATAGATAAAAAACTTACAAAAAAAAAGTTCACCAAAAAGTTGTAGACAAACAAACAAATAATATAAAAGTATCAAGAAAAAAAGATAAAAACAAACATTTTTTTTTTAAAAAAAACAAACAAATAAGATCGAGAAAAACAAAAAACAAAGAAACAAAAAAAATGTGAAAAAGGAAAGAAAAAAAAAGGGAGCTCAAGTAGAGAGTGAGGGGGGATGCTCGTAAAAAAAGAGGAAAGGAAGGGAGCAGGATGTGAGGCTGGGAGGGGGTAGGGGGTAGGGGTGGGGTGAAGGGAGTGGAGAAGAAGAATAAAAGGATGTGGAAGAAGAAGAAAAAAAGGAGTGAAAGAAGAAGACAAAGAAGTGGTGGGACTGTGGGAGGAGGGAGAAGAAGAAAAAAACGGAGTCAAATTGAAAATTATAAAATATAAAAAATTGTAATTTGGTCCAAATGACCTGCTGGTTATCTGGAAACCGGCTGCAGGTACCATTCGTGTAAGATTTTTAAAGTTCAAGTATTTTTTTTGAAAAATTTTAAAATTTAGATACCAAATCAAAATTTCCGTGAAAGTTGATGTACCATTTTTTGAAATTTAAGTTTTAGCATTTTCGCGCATCCATATACGTACTCGCACTCGAATTGGAAGTCGCTCTATGCGAGTGATGTAGCTTTCAGTACTCGGTATGTAATAACATGTCCTTTTAAGTAACGCATTCCTAGGCTGTGTGCATTACTGTGAATTGAAAGTTGAAAACAACCTTCTGACATTTAGCAACCTTCTCCCTGGTCACATCATAATGTCATTCAAAATGGCTAAGCCTCATCACTCTTTGAGATTAATACTAGTACTCCGTAATATGTAGAATCTTAGATTGTTAATTTAATGGATCCAACAACCGGCACATAAAGTATCGTTTAATTCGTCGTTACGGTGGATAACGTACTCATGTTGATGCCATGATGTGTACGGCGGATTACATACTTATGCAATTTACTAGTTTGAATAATGAAATATATATCTCTATATATAAAGATAACATGAGAGAATTTTAATCATGATAGGAAAACAGTTATATTAACATTATAATAAAGAAAATTAAATAACATAATAAGAAATGCAACAAATAATACTCCATCCGTTCTAAAAAAGAGTTCATATTTTGACCAAGTGTAAAAATCAGAAAGTATTAAATTGTAGCTGACTTCCAATTTTACCCTTGATGTGATTGATAAAAGTAAGATGTGATGTATAGATTATTAGAGAAAAAGTATGATGTGATAAGTAAGGTATGCAAAAGTAAGAGTAAAAGTGATTTTTTAATAGAAAGTGGAAGTCTTTTGTTGGAAGTGAAAAAATGAATGGGGAAGTGTTTTTGAGAACAGAGGGAGTAATATTTTATTTCCTAATACATCTATTCTAATATCCTTCCGGAAGCTGATCATCGGCAACGAAGAGCAGCTTGGAGCACATTTACTCAAAGTTGAGTTGGCAGAAGCAGTTTTGTGAGAATAGCCTCTAGAAGTAGATCTTTGTTGCACGACGAATGAGCTTGGGATTGCATTTGCTGAGTATTTTTCCAGTGAGAGTGTTGGCGATTGGAGCGAGGGCGAGAAGTTTCTTTTTTCTCCTTTAGGATCGTTATCTACTTCTGTATTGCTTTCCATGCTCTCAATCTCTAAAAAACACAGACAAATGCAACTTTTTCATTCTTCGTTCACGTATATGTTTCTTGGAAGAGAGAGAGAGAGAGAGAATGAATGTTTTTGAAGAGAAAGAGAGGGATAATGGACAGCGACTGCTAGGCACGCTCGTCGAGATCGGTTGGGGACGCCATGCTGTTGGGCGGTCGACTAGCGTGAAATGAGACCGGCGATGTGCTCGGTCGAAAAGAAAATGCTAGGTTTTTGAAAACCTTAGCTCCGATACCATGATCTTTCTCAGCTCCAATCTCCTACTCCATATCATGGCACCGAAACTATAACTATATGTAATAATGGTCACACACTACCCATAACCCACACATATAATTTGTGGGTAATAATATCATGTTCCCTCCCTTACCTCTAACTTATAATCTCTTCACTGATTTGCCAAAGACAATGATTGTACTCTTGTTTAATGCCAATAATTTTCAGATAGTGGACAATGCCACGAATCATGTGCCGTACTCGGGCCCTTGTGAACATGGACTATACACCCTCCCTTCCCGGCCTAACTTTATTGTGTATCATGTTGTCTCTGCCTCTACCTTGCATCGCAGACTCGATCATCCAACTCCTGCTATCTCCAAATCTGAACCAGAAATTTCTATTTGAAACCTTATATGGTCATCCTCCTGACTACGTCCACCTTCATCCCTTCGATTGCCTCGTATCGTATATCCTTGGTTTTGGCCTCATACCCATCACAAGCTCCAACCCCAATCTACACCATGTGTTTTACTTGGTTATCACCCTACCATGAAAGGATACAAATGTGGTGTAACCCTGTCTCCCAGAAAACTTATGTCTCTTGTCATGTTTATTTTATCGAGGATTAGTTTCCCAACATCTCCCTTCTAACCGCTCTGTCATCTCCTCACACTCAAGGCATCGTCACTATCTTTCCTAATAGTCCAGGTTCATAGGCTCAGGTACTGCCCCTTCAACGTGTTGCTCCCTCTACCACTACCCACAGACGGTCGATGGTAACGGTCATCCACCCACCCACAATTGACAGTGCCCTATGCCCTCCTCTGAACCCCTAGAGGCAATTGATCATGTGACCCATTCTCCTGGTCACGGTCGACCGTCTCTAAGCCTGTTCCCTGAACCTCCTCAGGCGGTCCACACACTAGACCGTTCATACCCAACAAGATTTCTTTATTCAAGGCATCAAGATCTAATAGCATAGTCGCAACCTCATCAAGGTATTGAGTCATAGTTTTTGTACCTTTACAAAGAGTGTATAATTTATCTCGAAGCTGATAAATATGAGCGGCACACATGGAATTATATTAAGTTGCTAAAGCATCCCAGAGGACAACATAGGTGTTGAAGCCCCGAGCATGTTTGTGAACAGTTGGACTGATGACGGCGAGGAGACACGCACGGATCTGAGTGTTAACAATAGACCATGAGGTATACTCAGGATTGGGAATATTTTTTCCATCTTTGGAGATTGTTTTGGGTGGTGCTGCTTCATAGCCATCAATCTATCCAAGAAAAAGATTAGCAGAAAGAGTTATCAGGACATTAAGAGACCATGCCGGATAATTTGTATCTGTGAGTTTTTCGGGGATCAAATTATGGAGACTACAAAAAGCGGATTTAGCATCGGTTGTTTTGGACCTTTTGCATCAATTTTTTACCGATGCAAATGCCATCGATGCAATTGCTCTGAGGCAATTGCATCGGTTGTAAAACAATTGATGCAAAAGGTCCTCATTAGCACACCCAAAGTGAAGGGCTTTGGCATTGGTTGTTTCGAAAGAACCGAGGCCAATGCCCTTATTTTTTTTAAAAAAAAAATAGGGCTTTGGCATCGGTTGTTTCGAAACAATCGATGCCAAAGCCCTTATTTTTAAAAAAAAAAAGGGTTTTGGCATCGGTTGTTTTGAAACCTAAACATGTATAAATATGACTATTTGTCAAGTTCCAATAGTAAATCCAAAGCTCTACAAATACAACTATTACCTATGTTCACAGTGAGCTATAAGATCCTTAATTAGGCCTAAGGCGAGAATCTCATGCTGGTCTGCAAAATTATATTGATGCAGATATTACAAATGACAATCAACCCACTTTATTCATTCACTAAGTGAACTCAATTGACAATATATACTACTCCCTCTGTCCCATAAAATCTTTCTCCTTTCTTTTTTTATCCGTCCCACAAAACACTTCTCATTTCTATTAAAAAGTCACTTTTACCCCTTACTTTTTCATACCCTAACTATCACATCATACATTTTTACTAATAATCTATCCATCAAATCATACTTTTACCCATCACATCAAAGGACATTTTTGGAAATTCAATACCAAAATACACTCCCCTTAAATCCCTCCTAAAAAGCAAAAGTTCCATGTTTCATGGGACGGAGGAAGTATATAGTAACGAGTCTCATAAGCGACTTGCTCTTTGAACCATGTGTGAATTTTGACTTGAATTAAATACAAGTTCATCCCATTGTTCACCCTCCAACTTAATGAAAAATGAAAATATACTTTTATTTAGCTCTTCCGCACAAAGGCCACGAATGAGTCATGACCTAGTTTCCAAATGAGCAATTGGATAGTATGTCAAATAAGGATTAAAAAATTATATGGCAATGTATGTTACCTTGGTTACAGGAAGTAGTGAAGTAGCATGTGAGAAAGCTACATCTGTCAATGAAGCAAGCAATGGACTGGATGCTACATGAGCTGCAAAAGTTTTCCATCCTTTTTTAAAGCTTCCAAACTGAATAAGATGTACCAATATAATTAGCAACAACCACAGTCTATGTCTAATTATACAAAGACTAAGAAATCTAAATGAATGTAAGGTACTAAAAACCTTCAATCAGATTTGATTTTCACTCATATTTTACAAGGTAAAAATAAGATCTGCGAAAATCATGTTTCTGAGCATCTTTTCCTTTCCCTTAATTTTTTCTTTACCTAAAAAGAAGTTGAAAAAAATACTCCGTATAATACAGATGAATAAAATGAGTATAAAAGTGAACCTTGAAGTGGGAACTCAGGCTTAAACATGGGAGTCTCTAGAATGACAGTATTTTTCAACATCTGTCCATAAAAAACAAACAATGATCAACACTTAATCCCACTTGACACAGTCATACATTTGGAAAACTAATATAATGCTCATATGTATAAAATATAATGCTAGCTGTGAGAGGGGTCAACGACAATGAATCTAGACAGCCCCATATGGCCTTAGTGCTCCTGATAGGTAAATGAATGAACAAATGATTAGAAGCCCTTAGTTATAAAAATTGAATGAAACGGCCTCTATTGTACACAATCAGAGTTTTAAAGTCACGATAGTCCAAAAAAAGGCTATAACCTGCCTGGTAGTAAATTGGCATACCAAGGCTATAACCTTCCTGGCACTAAACCACAAAAGCAGCAAAGAACCAAAAGAAAGAAAAGACTGACATGTATGACATACACACACACATATGTAGATATACAGAAAAATATTTTATTGAAAAACAAAAAAAACAAAGTGTGAAACTAGACAATTAAAACTTACTCCGTATCTCTTTGCAACTTTATATTAAAATAAACAGACCCTAACAAATATTAGCAGGTAGAGGGTCCATTAGCTTAAATGAAACTAGCAAACCTTGGCCAAAACTGTATATTTTTTGCTCCTCCATTCTTAGCTTGTAGTTGAGTGCTAGAGTGATTGAAGATCCTGTGGGGTTTGACAAACTTTTTCAAATGCTAATCTAAAATTTCATTGCACCATGATTCAAGTTGAGAAGAATCAAAGGGGATTAAGCACTTCCCTATTATTACGATTTAAGTTGAGAAGAAACAATTATGCAGCATAAAAGCAATATTAGTCCACAAAAGTGGATTCCAATAGGCAAACATTTTGGAATCCAAAAGACTCCTATCCAATAATAGCAAATGAACATAAAAAGATTTTATAAAATGCAAACCAAGTAAATAGTATCTTCAATCAAACCTAGAATAGAAAAGATATGAAATTCAGAAAAAAGATTAGCTCAGATTATTGATTTTAACCTATCAAATCACCGCTTCAGAGTTCAAAATAAAATAGGATAACCCCTGAGAAAAAATAAGATCACTCCTAAAGATGTTTAACCCCAAACACTTATCTTCCCTAAATTAGTATACTCTCAAATATACTAATCAGCATCTCATCTGCTTCATGGAATTTTCATTTTCCCAAATTAGTATACTATCATGTACTATAATGGCAAGTGTAACGAAATTTCCAATAGATGTGTTTACCAAGTGTAATTGAATTTCCATTCTCTATTTTTATTCAAGTCAAGCCTTAAGTCTAATTTTGATTCAAAATAAAAAGATCCGGGAAAAAAATTAATAGCAAAAATTATAATACATCAACATATTTTTGCACAAAAACTTAATTAAATACAAGAATGAAACATGAGAACGTTAAAAATCTTAACAAGTCAGCGTTGAAACTAATAAAAAATCTAAAGAAAATAAAAGATTAGAGAAAAAAAATGTCTTCAAAGAGCTTCAACGCTGATATGATAAAGTGTGATGGGTAAGCATAAAAAATAGTACTCCATATTTCTCTATGCACACCTCTACTCTATGAAACGTGTGCCTCTATTTTGCAGGAGGTTTGGACAGCGGTTTTGATATATCCGTTGTGTAAGGTGTGCCGTGTAAAGTCAATTCTGTAGTAGTGATCGTATAAGCTTACCAGCGGCAAGAGACGGTGTTGACCCGATTTGAAATCTTGAAATCGAGGAGGGGATTGGACGGCGCAAGATGAGAAGAAGGGAACCGTGATGTACCCAAGCTTAGGAAAAACTATGGATAAATAAGGGCAGATTATAGAGGGGAATATATGGTGAAGAATAGGTTGGATTTGTGTATGAAAGGGTGAAGAAAGTATGGTTGTTTGGAAGAGGTGATAGGGCAGAATGAAGGGCAGAAGAAAATCAATATTATGGAGTGGTTTTTTGATGAAGAAATGAAGTGTTTAAATGGGATAAAGGGGTGGACGAAATTGGGAGAGAAAGAGGGAGTTCTTTTGTGGTTTTTGTTGTATAAGGATAAACAAAATAATAAATAAGAGATAAACACATTCTTATTTTATTTGTGGTTGTTTCTTCTCACACAATAATATTCACTATTATTATATGAAATAGACTCCTAACACACTCAAAAGTAGCCAATTTTAGAGATATTTCATTAGAAAATTGAGAGAATTAGCTTCACACCAACTCAAATATTACTTCAAAGAGTAAAGAAATGGAATACAATGAATGAGTTTTACAAGGCCATATGGCCGAAATATATAGGGAAAACAGCAAGGAAACTTCACCACTCTTTCCTACAATTCAAGTGCATAATGTCTATTTGATGGATCCCATAGGTTGTCCTCATTGATCAAGGCTAAAAGGGGCTCATGTTGGTGAAATGGGCTGTCTTTGGGTGGGGAAATTCGGCCATGTGAAGGGTAGGGTCAGGGAGTGTGTCATTTTGTCCATTTATGCAAAGTAAGGTAGGTGACACATCAAGGGATTGGTTGTTTATTCCTTTGGCCTTATTATAGGTTTGAGAAGTGATTTGGGGGATGTTTGGG